AACCAAAGAATAATTACGTCACATTACACCTTGATAGCTTTTTGATTCTCAATTATTTAGTTAAATCCGTATGGTTACAGACTTTCTAGTAATGTTTACTTGTACTTCAGTCTTTAACTTTGCTGTTCCGCTTATTTTTTTATTATTAGTGAAGCTATTAGTTAGTACTTACTTGTTTGAAATTATTTTAACTAGTTTACAGCCCTCGAAAAACTACATATACAGGATAAATTATTCTTATTAGTCTTCGAACTAATCGGATTAATAGTATGTTAACAGCACCAGATTAAAAAATTACAAAGAATGAAACTGAACACATCGTTTTCATTTATCTAGTCTAAAATGGCGTTATCAATGACCATCTGAAGATATTTAGTTTTGACTTACTTTGTAGGCTTCCTCAACTTCTTGTTGCACACGTATATAACTTGCATAATCTGCACATAGCAGGAAGCGATCATCGAATGCTAAGCTATTATATATATCTTTAAATAGATGTGGATTTTCCGGAGAGAAGAAGCCATCCCGAATTTGTTCCAGACATAATTTCAATTCTGGTTCCTTTTCAATATATTCTTGTGGATGATAGCTAAAAAAGTGATAAGGCAGATAAAGACCATGATTTGCTGAGTTAATATAGCAATACTGATTAAAATTGTAGTTGACACTTGAAAGATTATCAGTCTATTTTTAGATCAAAATAATAAATAGACAACATAATCAATAATTTGCATTCGAATCCTGAGTGGAAATCAACTCCACGATGCAGGCGAATCCAGTGGACGAGTCAAAAATGGGAGGAAACACGCCGCCTGGATTCCACTACTAGCCAAAAATCATCTCCATTTATAATAGTTTACATATTTTGACTAAATCACCAATTATAATCAATCATGGACTAATGTGTGAATGAGAGACACTGGATTTTTTGTGTACATCTACACTTTACGTGATTTATACCAATCACTTAGTTCTAACACAAAGCAAGTTAAAACTAATTAAGTTGTTAATTAACGATTGGACTATTCAAAATAAACTTAATGAACTAATGTATTTAGTTATATTGAGAAAATATTTGTATTTGAGAAGATCAAAATAGAATTATGTCTAAGAAGCAGATTCATTGAAATACTCGCTCCACAAGGAATAAACATATTGATATTAATACTATTTTTAAAATATGAGAAGATAGTAAAAGATGATAATGTAAATATTACCATAAAACTATATTGCTTAACGTTGTCTCTGAAAATGGAGATAATTAAAGACAAATATATCAAAATAAAACTTGACAAAAATGTAGGTAGATTTAATTGATCATATTTTGTTAGAAGAACAAAAAGGAAAAATAACTAATCAAAAGATATAAGAATGAAGAGAAATAATGGATCAAAACATTCTCAAGATTCTGAAGATAAAACTAGGGTGTATGTAAACCGTAGTAAATGACACTGAGCTATATCATCTAGGTCTTCAATCTTAAATCATCCCAAAAACCATAACAACCAAAGTCTATAACTTCATTCAAGAATGACCAGTCAGAAAGTGTTTTGATAATTTTATGCACCAACTAACTGAGTTGACACAGGTGAACAAACATAATATGTGATTTACACAATTTACCAAAGAACATAAGCTCAACGAAATCGTTAACTTGGTATGGGATTAGATACTATAAAGAGGACACTTAGAAGGAATTAGGAATCAAATACTTTCAACTATGATAGAATTTTCTTGTCACAACTACTATAACAGAGACTGTTATTAACACATTCACTTAATTTGAGATATAAATTAACTGTAACAGATTGATAAATATAAATAAGAGCATGATAATTAAAGGAACGAGTAGCAGATAATTATATTTCACGAGTAACACTAACCAGATCAGATTATTACATATCCCAAAGGGCCGTTTCATGAATTAGAAAATGAGTTAATCAATAAGGGAAAACAATAAGTTTAATTTAAATAATCCGATAAATACACTCATGTTAATTTTGTTTATTGGTTAATGAAGTCTCTAATATCAAGAATAACATAAATAAATTGGATAATTTAAGTATATGGATTACATAAATTTCTGACATTAATGAAACGATTCAACTAGCTTATGCGTGTTAAAATCCCTATTGGGTACTAAGAAACAATATAAGTAAGACAAATAAACCTAAATTTTAATCAAACATCATTAAATTAAGTGAACTTATTAGATAGGTAATCTAATCTAAAAAAAAATCAATTGCTATAAAAGAAAAAAAATTCAATACAAGAATACAGAACAGTGAAATATAGGAGAAAGTTGTTATACACAATAATTGAAATTAGAAACATATGTACTAAAACGGGTTTTCAAGCTTTAATTTAAATAGCCCCCAAATACCCTGGTATGGCCGAGAGTGGGGAGAGTCCGCTCTCCCTCTCGAAATACTCTCACATGGCCACACATATATAGCCTCTGCCAGGGAAGTCCTACTTACTGCCTTCTCGTGGCATTACTGTTGTTTACGAAAATGAGAGGACGAAAAGCGAATGTCCGGCGCTTTAACCGGATCCCAAACCAATGGTGCACATGGGCTCCAGTATCCTGCGGGAACAAATGGCGTATGAACCAATCGTCGGTCACCGGCTACCATGGGATTGCATCTCCTTACAATGCTCCACTGCCTTGTGGATCAGACCTTCAGGTCGAAGTCTCATGGGGTGGCCCCCTAAGAAAACCAACTGCTTCGGTTTGGGCACCCGGGTAGTATCACAGCCCTCACACATGTCGAGTGAGATTTGTGTGGCGCATATGTATTTGGTGCCTCCTTGTACCAATATCTATGTGTTAAAATAAATAATTCAATAATTAATTAATTTCAATAATCAATACTAAACTTAGGTACTTTGTATAGATAGTAAAAGAATGACTAGAAACGTGTTTAGTAAAGTGATTTTTTTAAACATCGTAAACATATTTTACAGTTTTTATTTAGGACAATGTAATCAACTAATAACAACATGTAGTTGAATTAAGAAATAATACATTTATATGTGTTATTAATTGTGAATAAATACATCATTATTTTAGGTCATTAATAAAGTGTAACTTGTTTTCATATTTGTTATTTCTATCAGTAGATATATTAGAATTGAATAAACAACACAAGTTTACTATTGTCCATAATGACATTCTGTTAACTGGAATGAATTTTATATTTAAATGGAAAAATAATTAATGTTAGTAAATTATTGTTTACTATGATATAAGAGTGAGAAATAATGAATATTCTACACTAGTTAGAATTTATTGAAATCATAAAATTTATTCACCTTAAATAAAGCAAAGACTTAAGTGATAAATGAAATAATTCAATATTTATTATGAGGATGGTGAGAATCGTTTAGTTGGATTGAATAACATAGAAAAGATTAAGAATTCATTATCAGTGGGTTTGATTTAGTCACCTGTATAACATTTTGGATTGAGTTGTAGAATTGAAACTGTCTATACATAATTTCTTCTTATCACTAAGGTAATACTGTCCCATCTTAAACTACACAAGCGTTTTGTAACTCAGTGCATAATGATCAATTTTTGTAAGAGTTGGAAAGTCAAATATCAGCGTCCCATTTAAGCCATTATCTAAAAGTGAACAGTAGTGGTCTCGTCAGTGATGATTCTATATAGACCACTGTCCCTAATAGGCCCAAATGACTCCCGAGTATCACTTTACGCAGCGAATAACTATTACATTACTTTTAACTAGGTTATATACCACCTTGTTTCGTCATTTCGCGAAATTATATTCGGTTTGGGGTTATGGATCAGATAAGGCTGTAGAGATTCATCACCATAAATAATCTTCATACGAAAGTCAGCATCTATCCTCATGAACACTGAGTAGTCCAAACAGGAGTCATTCTTTTGTCATCCCAACCGTCTGGCTAATTACTTAAGCACACATTTTAATGTCCGTAGAATCAGATATGACAAGGATGAATAACAACTGGAAGGAGCTGGAAAGGATTGCCCAGGAGAGAGTTGGATGGAGAATGCTGGTGAGCGGCCTATGCTACTTTACGTGGAGTAACAGGCGTAAGTAAGTAAGTAAGTAAGTAAGTCGTACATGTATATATATATGACAGACCCTTTCTAGACAAATATAGAGAAACTAAGATGTACATGATACCTAGTTTATTGTCCAAAAAGGAAAGGAAAATGCAAGTTAGAAAATTCATGTTATTTGCTAAAATGTAGACAACCATACAATAATTTGATCAACAAGGGAAAAGGAAGCCAATAACTTATGTAAGCCATAAAAATAAAATAATTTCAACAGTTAGGCAAATAAATGATTGAGAAATTCATACTGTTATAATTTTATATTAAATCTTACCCGACTTTGTGAAGAGCATCAACTTGCTCTACGGTTAGACCAAATACAAACATATTCTCTCGACCCATTTCTTCGCACATCTCTACGTTTGCTCCATCCATAGTACCAACGGTCATAGCTCCATTAAGCTAAATACAGAACAGTATACAGAAATTGTTTCTTAAACATGTGTGTGTAACAATAACATTTCCAGAAAAAAATAACCATCAATTTTCATCTTATAATAAAATATCACAAACTATTTTAAAACATATTAACGATACGATGTTCAATGAAATCACCAACAAAGTCTAAAATTAAATACAAACAATACGGAAGCATAAAACAAAGTGATCTGATAAATTTTTTAACGATAATAGTACAACAAATGTTAGAAATTTCAGTGGAAAAAAGACAGGGTACTGTTCCTCTCTAGAGTGTTACTTCTAAGAAGTATCATCACTTAAAATCTATTTACTATAAAAATTAATTTAAAATTTATCAATGTTCAAACTTAATAATTTCACTATAGTTAATTGGAATAAGATTAGGTTTCATCAGAAAGTGTTCCTGTTTTTAATTTGACACCAATGAAACTGAAATGAAAAATCATTTGTTTCTGGGTTTTAGAAAAAAAACTCACATTCTAAGTGTCTTGTTACTTAGTCAAGATGATGTCAATTTCATATAGTTTTGAACAAAAAGGAAATCTATCAGCCTCCACTGAGAACACAAATTAATACGTATCCCGTATGATAATAATTAAGAGAAGTAAATACAATAATGTTTGTTCAGAAACAGTAAAATACATTAGAACTACAACTCAAAGTAAGAGAGATGATGTATTTTACCTTCTAAAACATGATAGTTATTTTCTAACCAAGTAATAAATTAATGCAGAACTTGGAGAAATCAGAAATTCAAAAAAATAAACAGAATGTTTATTAACAAGTCAGTATTTCGCATTTTATGTGTAGACTAAATCTAAACAATTTTAGTGACTTACCATAAATTTCATGTTACCGGTACCCGACGCTTCTGTACCAGCTGTAGAAATTTGTTCCGACAATTCAGCGGCGGGGAATATTTTTTCAGCCAAAGATACACGATAATTTTCAAGGAAAATAAGCTACGATACAAAACGTGTGTAGAAACAGAGATGGAAATAACATGTATGTTGATTACAAAATACCAATACAGCGTGGTATGGTTGCTTGTTATGTAAAAACTAGGTATATGCAAGCATAAAATTGTTATTATGTTATTAAACTGGACTCTATACTGCGGTTGACGTTTTGGCTGCCATGTGTATAAGTTTGAAGTCGAATTCCTAGTGAATTTTTCATGGGATTAACCGCAAAATGGGCAAAACTGAATGTGGTGATTTCCAGAAAGTTAAAATATTTACTAGCGAGGAAAAAAATTTTCTATTTGATCGAGATTATTTAGCTTAATTAGGACGTTAACATTCAATTCGTCCAATTTCTTTAACTATGAATTTTTCAAACCAAAGTAAGTACACAGATATCCAAGTGTTCTCGGTTCTTTAACCAATATGTCCATTAATTATGATATAGAACATCTATATTTCCGAATTTGCTAGCTAACAATAACAAACGAGGAAGCTTAGTCATACAATTAGTAAGAAAATAACAGGTGTAGAGTCATATTTCAATTATAGTCAATTAGTGAGCAATTTTTAGTTTTTCTGTAGAATGCCTAGTGAACTACCAAACGGATACAACAATAATTATTAACACTTACTTTAATTCTACCACGTACAACTGGATCATTATTGACAACTTTACCTACGGAATTGATCAACTTGATAATAAGTTTGGCCATATGATAACCTGGAGCAGCTTTACCCCCAATCATAACTGTACGTGGACAGATTGGTATTTCAGGATTAGCTTTAATACGATTGTACAAAGTGATAACATGTAAGCAGTTTAATAGTTGACGTTTGTACTCATGAATTCTTTTGACCTAACATTTGGAAAATCAAGAAACTTCCGTCAAAAGGATATATATATATATATACATGATTGGAAAAAGTGGTTATTGAACTTCAAGATAAATAAAAAGATTTTGAAAGATCGAACGTAGAATTTCGAAGGTTCAAATAGTTGGCGTTCACTGTACGTGGTAGGAAAGTTAAGTTTAATATGGGTTGTATGATAGCAAAGATAGGAAACCTGAGAAGTTTTGACATGTGATGCTGAATCCTATGGTATGTAATGAATCTATTGACTTGTCCAGTATCGGAGATATTTTTTGTTAAATGAACCAGATTGATACTTTGAGATAATTGACAGTATGATAACAGAGTCGAAATGAAATCTTTTAGTGAATGTTTGATACTAATTTATGCATGTTCTGTATGTAGTTTAGGAACTTTTATCACTAACCTAAAAATAGAAGTAGTACACTTGGAAGAAACATTTTATAGCCTACCCCCTCTACATTAACTGTAACCAAGAGAAGGGAATGTTTAGTGAAAAACTATTCATGCTAAACCCTGAAAACTCAGTGATAAATGCAAGAAGGAATAAAGTGCTTCTCAAATAGATAGAATCTCTTAGTAGAAGTTCATGAGTTAGAAGAAATTTACTCATACTTTGACCGACACTTAAAAAATTAAAATCATTCTAATACCAACATTCAGCTGTTTGTAAGAAACAAGTGAACAACCAAACCTTTATTTTACATAAATGATTGGAACACATCAGCAGTACCACTTAGTGTGAAGTGAATGCACCGAAGCGGGTTTTATTACGTGAATTGAAACGTATTTCCAACTAAAAATCTTATTGAATACACCAAAGAGGTACACAACTCAATGAATTAGCATTAGCCTAATGGAAAAAATAGAACTGACAATATCAGCAATGAGATATGTAAGGAGACATTATGACTCAAGTTTAATTCCTCATCACTGGTTGTATCGGTTCTGGAATCCTAATCTCAGTCGGTTTATGATGCCGTACCAGCACCATTCGATGATTTGAGGTGTCAATCAAAACAAATATCAAGCTAAATACCTATCAAAGACGGCACAACGTTCAAAATTAAGGTCAGTTTATATAATAAATCATTTTAAACAATCATGATATTGGCAATTTATTTTCGAAATAATTACATAATTATTCATCAACATATTTTACCAAAATTAACTGAAGCAAGTAAATCTCACTTGGATATCAAATAGAGATGCTGGGTTGATTGTTACACCATAATGTTGTTCCAGATAAGAAGCAAATTTAGCCTTGTTTTCCCGTTTGATACGTATCAACTGACGTAGAAAATTAACATCATTTACACGTGATTTTAACTGAGCGATTTCGTTAAGGTTAACAATCCATGATTCACTGCCATTCATTCCTTCCATAATTAAGTCTGACAAATTTGGATTACATAATAGCAACCAACGACGAGGTGTAATACCGTTTGTTTTATTCTGAAATTTATTTGGCCATAATTCAGCGAAATCTTTGAAACTGCAGCGAAACAAAATTGTACAGGTCAATAAGGAAAATAGGATAATCAATGGTGAGTACTGGAGGTATAAGATAAGTCTCAGTTAGTGACTATATAGAGAAATAACTATATGGGAAATAACAACATGTAATGGTTATCAGACTAAAAGTTTAAACACCTGCTGACTGTATAGCGTTTCTCTTACAACGAAATATGAGCCAATTTTACTTTGTTAACTTGGATGACACTAAGTAACTATTTAAATGAGAGAAATTGAAATGAGTTTAAAACTTTATCAGTAAATAAATTTAACTGACAAGTCACAATTCATTGAGTAGAAACGAACAATTTGTATTGAACAAAAGATATTTTAGCGATTATAATTTAATGTTACAAGGGTTTGAATCATGAGTTTTACATGAAAACTAGAGATATAATTCGACCATTCAGACTGAAGTGGACTGGTTTTTCAAACATGTGACTAAGCCGGAAAAGCCGAGTTCTTGTGCAGCGGAAGCTTTATTACACAAGTTAACAGAATGATTTTATCCCATAGATCCTAAGCTAACTGGATGAAAAACTAGCAGTTAATATTGGATTTGCAAAGAGAGAAACCGTTACGAATGATGACAAACATTAACGATGTGATGGACTTCTCAACAAGAAAAGTATTAGTTGCTGTAATAAAACATTGTAAAACACAATAAATAAAGATATGAACAGACGATGATGGTATCTAAGTGAAAACCAAAACAATTATAAGGAGAAGTGAAGTTTCTAGGAAGTATAATAACTTCTATTCGCGAAATAAAACACCATCTATGAAAAAAATCACACCAACTGCGGAAAACACAACAACTTTCGCATATAAGAGCACAGAATAGGAATGGGGTGGCATGATATGTTATCATATCAATGTACGTAAAAAACAATAGGCATGAATTCGGTTACGAAAAGCCACGAAATTATGGACTGAGGATCTTTTAAAGTGCTGGGAAATTTTAAGTGGTGTCTCATTTAGATTAACTGACAGTCAATATACATATCGACAGACATCCCATTTATCAACTCATACTTAAAAAGTCAACTAATCACATGGTTAAAGCTCAACTGAAAAAGACAGTCAATATGAATACAACAATATATAGAAACAACAAAACCAAGGAAGACAACCAATTACATAGCAAGACAATCAATACGCAAACCCCATTCTGATATATGGAACGGTTGGATTCACAAACCGATATTAGCTAGACCACCAGTGAAAGCCTGGAAGCATCTAACAGCAGCATTCACTCATGACTCCCGGAATAGCTCACTAATGATCAGCTCTCAGTTCAAGTATGAAGCCATGACCAGTGGAATTCAACCACATCGGAAGTGAGGCAACTATCCGCTGGAAGTAGTAGATAAAAGTTGCGGAATATCTTTAGTTAGTTAAAGTTGCACAAGTGCAACATCGGACGCCTACTCAGTGGTCTAGAGGTTAGGCGTCTGCTCACGTGTCCGGAGGTGTTGGGTTCTATTACAGGATGCTGGGTTATGACTGTGTATTGCTGTGGATTCCCATAATAGGACGAAACCTCTATTTAGTGCTTTTCGGTTTCTAATAGAGGTTTAAATAGTATTAGTTCATGATTTGACCTAGGAAAGTTCTACGGTCTCCATAACTCTCCCTACAGTAATGAATGAAATAACTGAAAAGCTACCTTTTAAATGAGGTGGGGCCTGATGATGTCAACAGAGGCGATGAAACATTCTAAATTAAGCGATCTAGAGATCAGATAACGCAACATCATCAAAAACTCTATACTTTACAATCCCTATTACTATAAACTATCACTATCGGTCGTGTTTTATTAGTTGGAACTCCGTCACTTTGAAAGTTAACTTTTTGCAACTCACATGCAAATTACCTTTAAGTAATATTAAATAATAATAAATTGTGATGACGTGAATCTATTATAAAGTAAAAACTCTTACGTTTGAGTTTTCAATAAGTGTGAATGTATTGCTGCGACTCCATTAACTGTGTGAGATCCTACAATACACAAGTAGGCCATATTAATACGTTTTTCGCCTTCTTCTTCTACCAATGACATACGACGAATACGGTCATCATCGTTTGGCCATTTCGCACGTACAATCTAGATAATAAAAAATACAGAAAAAATCAAAGGAAACATACGGTACAGACGCTTATTTACGCAGGAACCAGTAAATGTAAATCTGTTGATTTATGTAAAGACAATTTTAGGGAAAGAAATTTCGATATGTATTAGAACACAATTAACATTTCAACTTTTAAAAAATATTTTCATCAAGTTAGCTTGTCTGTGAAAATGACGTGAATTCGATTTTGTAAAACTTGGGTAGTAATGTGATAATAGAGTTTAATATCTGTTCATGTACTTAGTGAGTTACTAAGAAAAAATTATAAAAGCCCTTGACTTTGCGGGCAAGGTCAAAAAGTGAAAACTGTTAGTCAATAATATTTGGTTGGCCAATTCAGTAAGCTTCCATTATAATGTACAAAGTCTATAGTTATTTGATCATAGAAATCTTGCACATGCTGTCTACATGTACCAAAACACAAAAGACATTTAAAAGTTGAAAGACTACTTTTAAATGACGAATGAAATCAGTTGGTTATAATTTTGAATTGATCAAAATAAATGATTAAAGTACATGTGGAGAATGACTACTTTGGAGGACTGTGATGATAATACTAAAATTCAAAGTTAAAATTCCAAGGCATTCAGTACCAAAAAGATTGTTTGATTTGTGCTCAGTTATTGCATTCCTGTCTGGAATCCTTAAAAGAGCCAGATTGTCAGTCCATGTTAAGTTACACACACGAACTACATGTACGAAATATTACAAAATGATGAGTCAGAGTGAATGCTCAATGATGTAATTCTGATCAGCGTTTGCTTTGAATTGTTCCAAATGAAACAATTGTCTAAAACAAGTGAGACTGTCGGAGTACCATCAAATCAAAAAGTTAATTAATTTCGATCCATTGTAAAACATAAGTTACCATTTATGCTGCTTTCTGTACCTCTGTTCAACCAAGTGGAGTAAGATGTAATAGATAAAACGTGGCCCTTAGTGCAGTTCAGGACGCATATGTCGTCCCACTTGAGACTCAACAGCTGAACGTGCATGGACTCGAACGCACTACCGTCCACTTTAAACACCATTGCGTTATCCACTTAGCTACATTCGATCTATTCTATATAACAAAGTGATTTTACACAGAATGCACATATGCTAAGACTGATCAAATTTCAGTCAAAATATCAAAAATGAGATAATCCAAACCATTTCAGGTGCTGCAACGTCCATAAGTACAGTAAACAGAGACAAACCCTTTTGAATTCAATCAAACGTTTGCAGCTGATGGGGAACATAATACATACATTAGTAAACATTTTGTGAAAACATTTAATCTGTTTTTGATGCTCGAACTGTAAGTTTTCAGTCAACTAAACTAAAACTCACCATACCAAACGTTTCATGAGTTAATTAAGATACTTTTAGGGGAGAAAATACACTGCTGAAAGATGATGTTCAATTTACTTTATACTTTTCTTATTAGTAGATCTGTGCATATGATAAGTCATCCAGAATTTCTATTTTGTAGAAAAGTTAATATCAGCTATTTTGCATTATGTACACTTCATTCATAAAATCTTATAGCAAAATATCATTACATTTGTATCCTTGTATATATATATATATATTAAGATTCACATTGAAACTCACATCTAAGAACTCAGCATTAATTTGATAGATAATTTCTAAATGACGTGGTAATATATGCTCCAATAATGTGACAGGCCAACGTTCCAATGCTTCAGGTAAGATTGTATGGTTTGTATACGCAAATGTATGGTAACTTATATCCCATGCCTTTTTATGCGTAGATAAAGAGAACATAAGATTAGGTTACGAAATACTTTACAGAATAACCTAAGGAGGATTAAGACACAAGAGTATTTAAGAGGTGAAATATGAAGTTAATAATATTATAATTTGCATCATATTACTATTATTCACAGTTTGTGAAGGATGTGAATAAACTAAATTTTTTTAATCATAGATAAGAACCCAAAATATTTAAAGTAATGATTAGTTTACCGGTCAGTCAGTCATAGGTAACGTAAAAATTAGCATATATGTGCTTTGGATTAAGTTGTCAAACTGTATCAGCACAGTGTGATTAAATTATCGGGACAAATGCCAGATTATTAGCAGCAAAGTATCAGTGTTAGTAGAAAAAACTAAGAATAGTGACAAAAAATAGCGATTTGAGAAGTGGGAATTAATTTGTGGAATCAAAAGTACTGGATAACTTTACGACTCAAGATCTCAGAAAAGATGAAGACTGAATGTATCTACACAATTGAGACTGATTTTGAGACGTCATTCAGCTTCTTAAACTATTGGTTATGGTAATCACTCATAAAGTCTAAGCCTACCAACAGTCAATGATTTGATTGGCCGATACTATGAATCCATTTAGTCGTCCCTAGCTTTTTTCCAAACCTGTTTCCAACACCCGTAAACATCATCTGTTGAGGGAGGTGGCTGTTAGACAAATGCAATACATGATTTTGATTGAGATCATGAATCGATCAATATTAGACCAAAATCGAAAACCTGGAAGCACTGGATGGCCGTTTCGTCCTAATACGGGACTCAGCAGTGTACACCCACGATCCCACATGTGGGATCCGAATCTAGGACTTTCGGTCATACGTGTGTACGCTTAACCTTTAAAGAGAGCAAGAAAAAAGATTGGTGCAGAATAATGTGGGTCCATTTTATTTCGTTAGGTTCTCATCAGCTACTTACAACCTAAAATACTTGAAAATCAGAGTTATTATAGTGATTGACATACTTATACATAAGAAGGTGATTAAGGATGAATATATGTATCACCACTGAGCCTACATCCAATGATGTTGATGTTTAACTTCAATCGATCCATGATCATGCTCAACCCTTCATCCATTGTCTGAGGTAGATAACTGTCTCCAACTTACATGGATATGACCCCACTGCTCACAGCTTTTCACTAGAACTCCAAGAAATACCTCTCGAAACTACTCACTAGTGAACACATAGTAATTATCAGCATGGGTTTGTGATGATTGAGTTTTCGATTGAGATCATGAGTCGATCAATGTTAGACCACCATATGTCTTAACCCCTCTAATCTATGAAGATTCAATACTTCATCAATTTATTTGCCATCGTCGTCTAATATACATGTGTTTAGCATCAGCATATTTTACTACAACATACTATATTACTAATTACGGTGTTTGTTAGGTGTTATAATATTCAATCACTTACTGAGAGTAATCAAAATGGTAATACGGCTTCCGGTACATATTAAAATTTGTCTTCCCAGACCACATACATAGTATGATAGCTATGTTTATTTTCAATGGAAATAACCAGGCTTGGTGACCAAACTCGTACATTTTTGTGATTAAGAGAGATATCACTGTATCATTGTCGGGTGGAATACTACCTAAACTCGAGTCAAGATCAATCTTCCCAAGTAAAATGTGTCAGTGGTTTGACATATTCTTATTAATGCCGTTTCGTAGTAAAAATATAGAATGGTAGATAATATTCTGTCTAATTGAAAAAAAGAATTTCAAGTGTCAGAAACTTGAGTGATTATTTAATTCAATGTTAGAAACTTACTTTTTTCCACTCTAAACCTTCCAAGTCAACTAAGATACGTAGTAATTCAGGAATTGCCAGTGAGGGATGTGTGTCATTCAATTGGATAGCAACTTTGTTGGGAAATTCATCAAACGATCGATGGTGGGAATCATTACTTCTAAAACGCCGAATTATATCCTGTAAAAATAAACAATTAGAACACAAAGGTTAATATATGCATAGATGAATCAACAACAAAAAGGATTCCTTTTTATAAACTCAACATATTAATGAGAATTTTATTTTGATGAATTCGGTAACATTACATGTTGGCTGTTATAGGGTTGCTAGGTAAAAGCAAATTATACACAGTATACTTACAAAACACTAATTACAACTATATATATATATATATATATATATATGTCTTGAAAATGTGAACCATAGAGTTAAGACTCGATGGTCTAAAACACTGTCAGCTTCTATTTTATTCATGAGAGTCACATAGAGAAATGGAAGAGTTGGTTTCGTAAGATTTGTCTTTACGGAGTTTTTATATGACAAAATTAGGTAGAATGCTTTCAGGATATTACCTGCAAAGTGGCAGCAACTAAGAAATACTCTTGACGAAGGCGAAGTTCCTTCCCAACAAAGAAATTGTCATTTGGATAAAGAACTCTGGATATATTTTCCGCATGATTACGTGCACATACAGCCTAAAGCAGAGAAAGAATAAAAAGAATCATAGTATTTCTGGAAGGGTTAGATGAGTGTGATGAAAATAGAAAAGCAAACATACTACGATTTTATAAATTTTCACTTATTTTCACAAAAAAGTATGTTTTGTCTTGCATAACGCTGGAATAGATAATAGCATTGAACAAGATAAAGTATGACTAAAAGAGGTAACCTGCTTCACAGGAATCGAGTTAATATTGTTCAATAGAAAACTGCTTAAGATGTAACCGAATACAAAATGGTATTGTTTCGAAAACCGTAGTTAGCAACAGCACAGGACATCTATTCTGTTTAGACTGCAATTATATAAAATGGTAGTTTCAGTGTCAATATCAATACATCAGTTAACGGCAAACAAACTCATACTGTAACTAACATTGTTTTCAGCCAAATCAGTTATGGTAGTTAAGAAATTTCAACAGATTTATAAGAGATTTTGGACAAATAACAAATTATCTTACGTTTATGTAATCACCCATATTAAATATACCGAGATCAAAACTTTTTGGAGCTTTGGCAGACCACAGCCGAAGAGTATTGCAAGTGTTATTTCTATACCCTGGAACTGGGGTGTCATAGGGCATTGCAAAGACTGGATGAGCATCAACCCATCGTCTACGTCCATTTCCAGCATCTTCAACACGCCCGTAAAAGTTGACAGGATAGCAATATTCTGGTCTACCTTTTTCCCAAGGGTTTCCAAAGCGTAACCACTCGTCGGGTTCTTCAACCTACGTACAAAGTGAAAATAAGGGTAAATATGCGATAAACTTTAGGCTAGAACAACCCTAGAATTACTAACTCTTGTACATTTGATCAACAACAAACATTGTAAGTCAACATTTTCCTTGCTAATTTATCCTAACTAAAGAAAACTTATGCAAGACTATACACATCATTTACCATAGGATTTTATATAAGGCAATTATATCTTGAGGTAGCTTGTGGTAACAACGGCTATCACAACTTCACTTTAAATCAGGATAAGACAGCTTCTTTCTCTTACTTGTTCTGATTACTGCAAAACGTAAAATTTGTAAGGATGATTTATTCGGTAAGACTCCAGAAGAATTCGGATTACTCTTGAATTTGTTTAGTTATAATAAAACTAAATTCAATAATTATTAATTAGGGAAATTATTGAGTCAAACAGTTGTCACTTGAGCACAAAATAATATGACATTAATGCAATTGAATAATATACTTAATAAAAGTCAAGTGAGCAAAATATCACAGTTAGTTAATTAATATAAATCTAATGAAATACTCCGCAAACCTTGAGCTGAATTAATCCACGGTCAAATGAACAGACATCACACTGGATTAAAATGAACAATGAATCTAATTTAAAAATCAATGCTTGATCCTTCACTTAATTTCTTTCTGCTTAATCGTATTTTGGAATTTATATCCCGAAAGTAAGGGTTAGTTCAGCGCTTATTTTAATTTTTGATTATGATATACAGTTCACAAGTGTGCTTACCTGCCAGCCATCGCGAATAGACTGTTCAAAAATGCCATAATCATAACGGATGCCATATCCATAAGCTGCCAACCCTAATGTTGCCATTGAATCCAAGAAACAGGCAGCTAGACGTCCTAACCCACCATTGCCAAGACCAGCATCAGACTCCATTTCCTCTAGTTCCTCAATATCCAGTCCCAACTGTATTCAGATAAGCAAAATCAGAAATTAAATACTTTAATAGTTATGTCAGACAGACTATCTGAAACTACTCACTGACGAAAGCTTTTATGAACTGACTGATTAATTAGAATGACATAGACCAAAACACCACCACATTATTTTAAAACATTTTTGAATCTTGTTTTGAGTATAGTTTCGTTATCCATGTGAAGGGTATTGTTAGGGACGTACCAAATTAAAGAAGTATTTGGTTACACTTCAAAAGATAATGTTGACAAACAAAACATGGGTCTCTTATGTATACGTCAATGTCTATCAAAAATACACCAAAATACTTCTGCCAAACATGAGAATACACTAAATAACAAAGAAAAGATATGGTTATGTAGATCAATGGTTTGTTTGTGTGGCAAAGATACATTTAAAGAGCCTTCTGATATCTCCTTTTGTCGTCAAAGCCCATACACTCAATTACGTTTTGTATATGACGAGAAAGCGTTTTCATGCATGGTGTCTGTATGCGATCGACAATAATCGGTAGGAGAAATAAAAATGACACTTGGTGAGTACAATTTTCAAAATGTTTCTTTAGCGTGCTAAAGACCGAGATGACTGATCAAAATGGTCATTATGAATTCAAATAAACGTTGAGACAATGAACAAAGTTGAGACATTTTACTGCTAAAGGTGGCTAATCTTTCTGGAGTGTGAACCTCTCAGAAAATAATGGTGTAGGAGAAAGCTATGGATCAAGCTTATGTAATACGCTATCATCTATTGTTTGCTAAAATTATGAGAAGTGAACCAATAATAATAGGTATTGAGTGGTTTAACATGGTACTACTACGCTTCCATTTAATTTTTGTATGGTGAAGAAATGATTTAATTGCATTGAAACTGACTAGTGACTTTTATTAATCAGTTAGTTTCATATCTAAAAATACATAGATCAATGAAAAATTGACAACTAACCGTTGAGACTATGGTTTGAGGGGTTTGAGAATCTCACATACTATTTGCGTCAATAAACGAAGCGCTTTACCTTTGTATTAGATCTACATGAAATAACCCTATCAGCATATATATATATATATATATATATATATATATATATATCACCAATGAAATGCTCCTTAGTTGTGGTAAAGTTACAACTGAAGTAAGTCTTTGGTTCACTGATATAAGCACGGTTTCAAACTTTACTCAACTTCGAATTTCGCTAAACCCAAAAGGACCTGGCTAGTCACTACATTAAGGGTTTATAATGTTGTAATTAAGTGTACGTTTGAAAAATTTGGGGGTGGCCAAATTGAAATATGATATTGCTCTTTAAAGCCATTGAACTCTGTTAAGAGCGATTTAAAACCTTGAACTTGACAAGATAATAAAACTCACTTGGTACATCGCCTCATCTACTGCAGCAGCAATATTTACATTCAGCATTGTATTGGTCAAAGTGCGGCCCATGTAAAATTCTAAGGACAAATAGTATATGCGCTGCAATATGAAAACAAGATAATTATCTTTATTTGTTTGTAGTAAGATAACAGGAATAATAATACTGAACAACAGAATCCAAATTTTTTACAAGTTTGTACACTAAGATGAAGTGGGGTAGGGTTGAAATCAAACGATAAGCACGTAGTTAACGAGATATTTGATAGGTTAATCTTCTTGTGACTAAGAAGCGCATCGCAAAAATAAACAACACCTCATTTACATCCTTTCAAGTTAATGAATTATAATCAATTCGCACAACATAAAATGTTGTTCCTAAGATAGTAACACATTTACGTGGTCAGTGCCGGATACTGAGTCGAAGCAAAGCAAGATTTAAAAGGTTTCACTAGTGCGAATCGACCTCTTAAAACTATTTCGTCAATGTCTAACAAGATGGGATGATCAGAAGAAACATATAATGTTTACACAACCGTTTTTAGGGCTAAACACAGTAGTCTAGCGAAGTGGCGCATAACTTACTTCCTTGAAAATGGAAGAAAATACATCACTTTTGATGTCCACACACGGAGAGACCTCGAAAATCACCATAAAGTAACCTTAATTTTGATTCTGTAGTTTTAGGGTACTTTATCAAACGATTGCCAGGTGGCTAGGTCAAAAGAAACGAAGTAACCACATCGGCCACGTGAGTATTAAGATCTCCGTGTGCTTTGTATATCAATTTCGACCAGACAAGGAATCAGGATAGTTTTAGCAATCCATAAATTATAAAGACAGCTACTATCAGTGAAGGCAATGAACCATCAGTTAAATCAGATTTTATTTGAACCTCAATTTTAAAACGTAAGTAAATTCTGTATTCGATCGCCAGTACGTCGTTTCGCTATTTTCACCATCACAATGTTTGCTCACATGGAACTTTGTCTCATTGAAGTGAATTACATAAATATTGATAATAAGCTTATTTACTTATTTGTTTGTTTGTTTGTTTGAACACATAAATACTGGTGCAAGGGGGCACCAAATATATATGCGCCACATAAAACAATGAGAATGAGAAGAGGAAAAGAGAATGGCGACGAGATTAGTGTAAAGTAGTGTAAAATAATCATAATGATAATAATAGTAATGGGGGAAACGGAAGGGTATAATAAGCTGCCAAAAATGCTTATATTTCGAAAATCCCATACACTGAAAGGACCATAGAAACATGTTACACGTTCTCCAGAAAATGTGTGGTGCATATTTCACCTAGCACAAATTACCAACGAAGTATCATGTCAGAATATAGTAACGCTTCGCATAATTTTGTCATAATTTTAGGCTGCCAAACCTCAAAACATTGCAGGTCTTTAAAGACTTGTTCATTAGTCCACTGATCAAGTGTTGAAAACATCATTGTTTTTTAATACAAAGCCAACATTTTAAGATTTTTCAAAGATGAGAATATACAAACGTTCTGAATATATCACAAATAGTCCGTGACAAACTTCAGTCGAAAAGAATTTCGCCTGTTGTTTGCTCACTTTTATACAAAAGAACAACTTTACGATGGGAATGATCAAAATAATCTTACTTCACAAATACTTTATTAACGCAAGTGAGTTAACTGAGTCTTCCTAAGTCGAAAAAAAGCAAGAAATCGACACTTCAAATTACGCAAAAACAGTAAGATATCGAAAATATGATTAACCTTTGGATCCTCTCTATGGTAAAACTGCTGAGATCGAATCCATCGAGAGCAAAGATGATCCCAAACTGTACGTGCTAACGCTTGATAGAAGTCGAGGGACGTTGCGACGTTCCTATCTTTAACACCATCAAAATGCAAGTGTCTGTTGAAGTCAGATTTAAGATTTGTCACATTTTCCAACTGAGCAATCCCTCTAACACTTATTTGCTTCCTTTTCTCAGCATCAGACAACATATCACAATTTTGTAGCTTCAAAAACGTTGAATGAGTTGATGCAACCGAAACAGTAAAACAAATGGTGCTCCAGCAGCATTGAACAAACTACATTGAAACTCAAACATGATGTTTTGTGACATTTTGTCGCTCATTAACCCGGAAGTCTGCGTAAATATTCTTTCAAAGTGTTAAAAAATCTTTTAATGGGATACTGAAAGTGAACGGATAGCTTTTAGTTCAAACAATAGTCTAATAGAGACGAATCAAAGTTTTATTTAGTAGGGAATCACCACAAATATTAATCCAACTCTTAAACGATATATATCGCAGAAGCATTTGAACTCTGGTGGGCACGACTGCCAAGCCAGCGGTACCACGATATTCTCACACTAGACAATCACGATCAGGTAGAAAGCTCTTGTTTAGAAAGCGACGGCAAGGCAAAAACGGTAGGCTCCTTCAAATCTGTCCGCCTTTTCGCTTCAAAAGCCTTAAACGGCCTGACTAGACGCGGTCATTCCGTATTTCAATTGCCGTGTGTGTCGGGTCGTATGAGTAATAAGATTTCCATATTCAAGTCATCTTTTGCTGCATGAAAAGGCACAAAATAACTGCTAAGAGCATTAATTTAGCAGTCTCTGTTTTGCAGTGTACACGTTAGCTCTGTTGTTGCTTCGTAACTTGGTCTATAGTCCCACAACACCTTTATATAATTTGTTGATAATGCCCAAAAAACAACGTAAGAAAGATAACATAAAAAGTTATAGATACGCAGAGCTTTTGTGAGTAGCTGTTAAAGAAGTTAAGACGAAATGTCAACTCATCGGTAAGTCCTAAATATTTGTTGTACTTCTTTCGGTTTTTTTTCAAGGAATAACTTTTTTGATAATTAATGCGTGTTGCCTGTAGTGCTTCATGCCAAGGGAAATTTCAATGGACGTAAGAGAGGCGTTTCAACGTATTATGCTGAACAAGCGATTCGGAAGCTGGATTGAATTTAATAGTGCGCTAAAGAATTTCCATAAAGTATGCAAGAATAATTCTACGTTTTATCAGATTACCCATACGCAATATGTTCACGCAGAGAATAAATTTTTGAAGGATATGAGATATAAATACTTGTTTGTGATGTTTCATTGCACGTTTGGTCGTAAACGTAAATCAGAAAGACTGACAGTGAATAAAAAACGTGAGGACTTTAACTACCATGTGACATTTAAGGTCTACGTTTTTAAACTGCCAATATAGGTTTTGTATAAGATTAGAAGGTGAAGAATACGTCATAAAATCTTACAACATGTCTCACAACCATCTTTGTAGTAGTTCATGGATGGTTTGTGATCCGTGGAGTTGAAGATTGTCATCCGAAGAAAAAGAAAACTTGAAGCCAGTAATATTGCACTGTCAGTCAGCAGATGAGGTTGTAGAAAGTATTAAAGAGAGAATAGGTAAGCAGGTTACCACTGCTGATGTCAAAGCTATGTAAGGTAAACTTGTAGAATTATGGTCTACTATGATATTAGTACTGCTCTAAAAATGACCTAATCCTTAATTTGTAGATTTGTCATGATATAACTGCCTAATCTATAAGATCTTACGTGGAAGTCACACCATCGACTAGACCAACTCACTGTATCGTATCAATTACCAATACATGATGTAGAACAAGGTTAGGCTAGAGAAAGAAAAATATATTTAATATGAATAGAAGATATAAGGTAACATTCAGAGGGACCACGCCTGCATGGCCGAGCCATGCCACTCGATCGACTCCAGTCCGTTCAATTCATTGTTCGCGCCTTCTTCATTCTTAGGTATTTCTTCATGTTGCATATTGAATATCTATTTTCTGAGTAGTCTTGTGTTCAGCTTCGAAGATTGTGTGGTTATGGTCCAATGCCACTACAAACTCTCCACTGGTAAGTGTATATTAGTATATTTCAGGTTGTTCTCGAAAGAAGGTAATGCATATGCTGCGACAAAACGGTGAAGTTAGGGAGCATGTAGAAAATGGGTATATCACGAGAATATGCTTCAGCAGCTAGGACCAGATACAGTTGTACGATCAGTATCCAAAGTCGTGTGTATTTATTCGACTTATAATACCAATAATAAAAAGTGATTGCGCTCTTTGTTACATGACACTTCGTAGATATTCCTTATACCAGTTGGTCGTAACAGGTAATTTTGGTCGTGGGCGGCCTGTAATGTTTCGGTGGACGAAAACGGAAGTGCGCGCAGATGTTACATGAATTCTAGAAAAATTCAAAGGGTTTGTTGGAAATACATTGAAAACCCTGACCTTTCTTATGGACTGCGGAAGGCATTATGGAGTGGATCTAATCACTTGTCAGTGCAATTGTAGAATATTTATTACGTGTCCATATCCTTACCACCATCTGCTAATGGCATATATTAAAAGACGAACTCTTACAGGTAAGCTTAGTCACTTACGAAATATAAACTATATAGCCCATCAAATTCTTAAGCATTGTTGTAGATGGAAGTTAGACAATACGCACAACTTACAAAGCAACACAACGATTTCATTACCGAGACGGTGTGAAGGATATATATGCAAATTCAAAGGCTCCAAAAAATGTGCAAACAACAAATTATTGAGAAATATGGCGAACCATTCGCGAAAGGCGTGGAGAGAAAAGTCTACAATTTCCACTTAAGAATTATAAAAAACTAGACGGCACGTTCGCGATAAAAAGTTCTTTGTGGCCTTATTTTTGACTTCACTATATATACAACTTGTAAACTTATCTTTCTACTATACTAGTCATAACAATTCAATAAACTTTTTCCCAATTTTTATTTCCGTCTTCTTCATATTTTCATGGGGAGGTATACCAATCGTTTTAATGAATAATTGTGTGTGATAAAAACTTGTACTACTGAATTAGTTTTTAAGTGTCGTTAGAACTTAGAGTTATATCATTGTTAATTGTGACTTCTACGTAAAACCCTACAGATTAGGCAGCCGCCTGACGTACTTTCCGTTGTCGGATTACATCTATGATCCTTATTGTTTCCTTAAGTCCAAAACCATACAAACTTTGACCTGTTCAAGCATATATATATATATATATATATATATATTATTAATGATAATCTAGGTCATTCCGATTCTTCACTTTCTATTACGTCAATTGTTTCATACTATTTCTCACCTCAATCTTAAATTATAATGCATATTTAGTTGCATACAGCTTGTGAGAAACCACGAAATATAATGCAGTCACATTATTCTGCATCAATATTTATTTTGGCTTTATTTAGACCATAAGTATACATACTTAAGGGATTTATAACGTTAAACACTGGGTATGGTTGTTATATTTATATTTAAATAATGCATTAGATGAATGAACATGGCAGTAGGCAATATAAAAGTTATCGTGAACTTGTAATCCGGTTTTCCACACGATCTTCCATAAGCTTCATACTTTTCTGAAAAACAACAAATCAGTCTTGAAACAAACAATTAAACTTCGTTATCAGTATCACATTCAACAAGTTAATAAAATATCAGGTAACAGAATGTACCTATAAGTCAGTGCTATTCATTAGAGATTTTGGATTCCGTTAATAGAAATTCATTGGTAATCTTTAGAACAGACACATCACAAATTAGTGTTATTTACAAATTACTGTAGTTACTGTCATCACAACATACACGCATCGTCCGACTTATGAGGAAAATGCGACTAATTAATGTGGCACAAAGGAGATATGAATGCTATAATTTTTTATTTAGATTCGATCGCGCGTCCACTTTTCGTCACGTATTTTGCATGAATTACTTTGGACTTATGCCGGGTCAGTCTGTAATGGAGTAGAAATTCAAGAATTAACTCACTAATAGTTGTTATTTGATTCTAGGGTTATGTCGTATCAAGAACTGGGAGCTTCAAATCCTCATCATATAACTGTGAACGCTTTACAGTCTTATGACATTTTTTGTACCAAGTTTATGATGTAAATGAAATGTTAATGCTTTCACAGTTCATATTGCCTGAAAACTCTGATTTTAGTATATTTAAGACTTCACTAGCCGGTGACAATAATCTATAAGTTTCTTATTTCATGTAAACAGCGCTCTTCATTTTCTAACCCTTCTCGTATTTTGCCTAGACATTTGGTATTAACAAACAAATTGGTAAGCAAATTTTAGATATTGCTCGACAATGTGCATTATAACTTTGTTTATAATTTGGTCAGTGATTGCGCATTCTGTTTACAGAAACTTATTCGTTAACCCTATAACAGACACATAAATCAGTATTAACTACCACATGGTTTTGTCACCATGCTCAAAAGAAACACGCATCGTTCTACTTATGAGGTTTTTGTGACCAATTGATGTGGCACTTCCAGTGGTGTTATGGACTGTTCATGTATACGTTCAGAGAGCGGATGGAAAAGACCATCAACGACAATTGTTACTCACATGATTCTTCTCAGATACGTTACATAATAATATTTCACTTCAGTGCAAAACGATGATACTTATAATGGATATAACGGTTCATGGCTAAATATTAACAAGTTATATAATATTCATAAACAGATTGACGCTTAATTGCTTCTACCTACATTTAATAATCAACTACCAACATCCATGTTCATCATCATTATTATCAAAAAGGTGAACCATATGTAACAGGTTTTAAAGCTTATTTTCATGAAAATTCAATTTGTGATCTATTTTTTGACTTGAAAAATGGTGAATTTCACTGGCTTGAGCTCATATTGTTACAAATAACCATATTAGGCTTACTAAAAATTCACTTAGGTGGTGACCAATAAATACGTCAAACTGCTAATAAATTGGAATACAGACTATGTAACAAGCATAAACAATACGAAAATTGACGTGTGATAGAGAAAATGCTGTTAATAGCTGATGAATAACGACACAAAAATCCATGACAATATGTAACATGTACGCGAAAGCCCCTGGCTTACCCCTGTTCCCGTGTCGAAAGCGACTTGCATATTCGAAACAAATTCC